ATATATATATTTCATTCTATTGCCGTCTGCACGGTGTTCTCTTTCTTCTATGTGAAAGAAAGTTTTGTCGTTCTTATCTGCATATGTGTACCGAGTGGACTACACGTCAGTGGTTAGTTTCTCAGTGAAATAAAATCACGAATACTTTCTTTTTTTTTTCGTTCTTGTGTTTCTTTATACGTCCGACACAAACGACAACGCATTCAATGTAGGAAAAAATCCAACGACTATCATTTCAGGTGAGTCGATCTTATTATTCGAGTGAAGGATGGGTGTACTAGGTGAAAATCTTGATAGTAAGAGACAATTCCACAAGTTATTTCGAAAATCAAAGTCCAACCGCTTGACAACTGAGATCCCATAGTTTTCGTGCCGATTCAGGATCGATACTTAATGGCGAGGATGGACAAACAGCACAGTTTCTATTGAAAAAAAAACAGAAAAAGAAGTTTTTTCAAAATGCAAAAGACAAAACGAACTGAAAGTATAATGATTTTGATCGGTCTAAACTTGGTTCAACTGCACAATAAATCGATGTTTGTGCACCACATTGAGCAGTTTTTGCAAACACCCATTTGGAAATACACATGATCGGATAATAAATCAGCGAAAGGAGACTTCCGATTTTCTCTTCCAATGGATCTTTGATTGATGTTGAGACAAAACCTGGAGTCAAACAAAATACATTCACATGTTCATCATCAGACAAATTCGTTTTAAATTGATATGATGACAAAATTTGAAATAATTTCGACACGGGATATGATCCCATCATCCCCAACGAATTTCTTTGTGTAAATGCATCGGACCAATCAATTGGTTTTGTGACTAATCGATGAAGATCAGATGAAACATTGATAATCCTTGCTGATTCGGATTTCTTCAGTTTGTCTAACAAAAGATTTGTCAATAAGAAATGTGAAAGATAATTGCTCTGAATAACAGAATCGAAACCATCTTCCGTTTGTTTTTGTGGAGAATAACCTAAACCAGCATTACAGATCAACACATCTAAATGATTTTCTTCTTCGTTGAATAATTTCGCGAATTTTCGAACAGAATTCAATGAACTCAAATCACATTCCATTAAACGAAGATTTGTTTTGGAGCAATTCGTTTCTTTGAGAAGATTTTCAATAGCTTCACGACCTTTAACCAAATTTCGACAAGCAATGACGACACGAGCATTTCGTTTAAGCAGATCTTTGGCTGTTTCATAACCAATTCCAGTATTTCCACCGGTGATTAAAATTGTTTTTCCATTCATTAATTGATTTGTCGATAAATATCGACGATTAACCCAATACTTATTGTACAACCATCCCGTTAGAACTAACAAAGAAAAAGAAGTAGGTCAATTTGATTTTCACTCGAATATAAGTACCAGTTCCACCGAAAACTAACAAAATTGATTGATATTTATGCAAACTAGTCATTGTTTCATTTGAAATGAATGATATCTTGTTCTATGTAGATAAAGAGTTCGTTCGTTCGTTCAATTAACAATTAATACACGGCTCACTGGTGACATCTATACTTCTGTGATTAAATCGGGACAATCTGGAAAATCTTTGTCTAAGAAGACTTATGCAGATGTTTTTATACATTTCGGTGATGTTTTCGTAGGAAGAGGATTACAACTAAATTAACAGTGCACCATCAACCAGACTATTTTCCAAGCAATTGATAGGGCTATGAATGAAATCGAACTGATTATTCTTAAATCGATCTATTTCCATCTAAAACATGCACAGAAACCGTTGCGGTTTACACATGTTCAATTTGAAAACGAAATGCATAGATAATAATTTGGATTCCTTATCTGAAATTATCAAAAAAATACACTTCGAGATCAGAAGAATTCCAGTTTTAGTAAAGGATGATCTTTAGAACAACTAAATTGTTCTTTTCTTGTTCGTTTTGATCGAACTTGGTGATATAGAGAGAAATCAGCAAGATTTGCCATTATCAAACAATAAATTACAAATTCACAAAAGGATGCCAAATGTTTTATTCCAGATCAAAATTTTCCTCAAGAACTTTTTGTTGATCAAAGTCAAAATCTTTCTATTGTGGATTTTCAAAATGATCGAATCATACGTTGATGTGAAAGGAATCAAGAAGGTGAAATAGTTGTTGGTTGAATGAAAAGAGAGAAGAATCAAATCAGTTATGCTATCCCGCAGTGGTATATCGTTTATTATCGAAGAACATCCTCAAGAATCTCAACATATGATTTAATTTGTGAATAGTTTTTTCTTCTAAAACCATCTCAGAAATAAAATTGATAATCAATTGAGTTTATTTCAAAACTTAGAGTGTGCGGAAGATTCGATTATAGAATAGGTAAGCACGAACTACTGAATTGGAAGATTATAACATTGGAAACGTACTCTCCGAGTAATGTACATTTACTGTTGTCATCATTTTCTCGAGTTATCGCATTTGTCAATGATGAACAAAAACCGATCACTATCATATACCGTATGTCAACTCGAAACTCATGTGTTCAATGTCATTTTGGTTTGTTTTTTTTTTATTCAACAAAACTGAAACCGATTAGAAGAAAAAAAAGAAGATGAACTGAAAATATTTTATTCACGATCTATATCAAATCTTTCGATTCGTGAATTCTTATAATCAGCAACATAAAGATTTCCTTCCACGTCGAATGATAAACCATGAGAATCAGACAATTGATTTGATTTTTGTCTTTCTTCGTTTCCATCAACAACGATCTCACCTTCTGTACTTCCTTCACGCCAACGCATGATTCGATAATTGTGACTATCTGCAACATAAACGTGACCAAAATCATCGACAATTATGCCTTGAGGATGATTCAACTGGCTCAGATTCTTTCCCTGACCGTGTCCCCCAGCAACAACAATTCCTTCCTTTGCATCTTTTCTCCATTTCATTACACGATGATTCTTCCAATCAGAGACATAAACCGATTGTTCGTCATCAACAAAAATAAAATGAGGTTCATTGAACTGAGTAAGTTTATTTCCTTGACCATCTCCACCAGCCACTAATGTTCCGTTTTTTTCTTTCATTTCTCCAAATTTCCATTTCCTCACTTCATGTTTCTCCCAATCTGAAACGTACAGGAATCCGAACTTATCTTTCTTTAAACCATAGCACAAAATATTCTCAATGAGAATCTCTTGTTGATTTTCACTAAACCACTGAATCACTCGTCTGTTTCCTCGATCAGCAATGATCAGCGAATTGTTTTGTTCATTGATAATAACATCTGTTGGTCTATCCAATTGATCAGTTCCATTTCCGCCTGCAATAATTTGTCCTTGACTTTCATGAAGTTTCCATTTCATTATTCGATTATTTCGGAAATCTGCTATAAAAATGTTTTGATGTTTATCAATAGAAATTCCGAGAGGCCTATAAAGTTGATTTAATTCGTTTCCATCTCCATTTCCTCCTGCTACGATTTGTGCATCTTGTTTCCATTTTTTCAATTTTATTCCTTCGAAAAAGAAAGAAAGAAGAATGAATGAATGATGAAATTTTGAATCGAGTCTATACCATCACCCGCATTCGTTTCAGCAGAAGATCTTTCACTTACTTTTTGAACACATTTGATTCTCGAGACGTTGTAATCGTGTTTGAAACGATTTCGAATCGTTTTTCAATCGATAGATTTCATACTGAGTCCAAAATATTAAAGATAGAACAATAAGTAGAAATAAACATTGTTTAAACAATGTGCTTCTTTTCAATCTTGTAAACAAACTCTGTTGAGTCTTGTAATCATTTCTATGCATCTGAAGATTGTTAATTGTCGTCTGATGATTATCTGTAAAATTTTGTTGATGAGTGTAATCTGAATGAACACCTAATTTATCGTCTTCTTCTTCTTGGTCTGCAGTCAATGTTTGAAAAAGAGGTGGCATTATTAATGATAGACTTTGCATAGATTGGCTTAAATTATTTTCACGATTTTGTCTCAAATGATCTAAAACACCTCAACAAATCAGAAAATATATATGACATAAAAAATTTCATAACCTTTCAATAATTTCACGGCGTCGAAACAACGAATTTCGTCGAAAGTTTTGATTAGATAAGTAAAGTCTTGTTCATTAATTTTGTCTTGATCGAAAAGAGAATCCATTAGAGCAAGNCTTCTCATCCTTCTAGGTTCTCCGAATGGACATCCAGATAAGTCACTATGCATTCAATCGACGACTGTTGATGTTGATCCTCATCGTTCGAGGTTCTGCAACCGGATATACAGGTAAGTCACTACGTATTCAATAGATGACTCTTCATCCTCATCCTTCTAGGTTCTGCAACTGGATATACAGGTAAGTCGCTGTGTATTCAATCGACGACTGTTGCTTCTCATCGTTCTAGGTTCTCCGAATGGACATCCAGATAAGTCAGTACGTATTCAATCGACGACTGTTGATCCTCATCGTTCGAGGTTCTGCAACTGGATATACAGGTAAGTCACTACGTATTCACTAGATGACTCTTCATCCTCATCCTTCTAGGTTCTGCAACTGGATATACAGGTAAGTCAATATGTATTCAATCGACGACTGTTGATCCTCATCGTGCTAGGTTCTCCGAATGGACATCCAGATAAGTCACTACATATTCAATAGATGACTGTTGATCCTCATCGTTCGAGGTTCTGCTACTAGATATACAAGTGAGTGAAAAATTTTTTCTTGACAGATGTAGACGAGAAATTATGCTTTGGAAATATTGGTCGTGGTGCGTGATCATTTGTTGCATCTTCATTGACTGGTGTGAATTGTGCAATTTATTTGTGTATTTTTTTAGGTTGGAACGAAAGTAATTTACGAATGGTGGATGGAGAAATTGAATAGTTTCTGTTTGTTTGGCGCCTTTGGCAATGTGTTGACGTAAGTTATGTGTTGTGAAATAGGATAGTTGTATATTTTTTGTTTCGCACTAGGTGGATGCTGCTCTTTAGATTATGCGTGATGGTCTGTAACCTGTGGCAGTGGAAGTGCGTTTGAATCAACAATCAATGACATTTTGTTAGACAATATGTTGATTTTATATTGATATGGTGAAAAGCATCAGCTGATGCGTGATCGTGTGCAGTTTATCGAACGACATGTAAGTGACGAGTATTGAAATTTTCTGTTTTAGTTGTTTATGGCTGTACAGAGGATACAAGGTGTATGCGCAGTGATCAGCGAGGTTTTCGACAGGTAAGTAGTTGCTGGTACACATTTTGTGTTTGGCATGCGAGTAATCAAAGTGTATTGCAACGTAAAAGTGTGAAAAAAAATCAATTCCTTCATAAATGAGCAATTTAGTGATTTTATTTTCTAGAAGTCATTGAATTTGTGAAAGTTAAAGGGCTTTGAATGACAACTGATTTATCTGCGTAGAAAATCTAACGCCAATAGAAATCAGTAAAAATGCACAATTTTACGCGTTAGAAGCATATACGTTTCTAGCAGTTAAGACATCGAAGATTTGTTAATGATAAAAACGGAGGCTTTGCGCAGATGTTAATCAGCGTAGACAGTCTGACGAAAATAAAATCGGGAAAAGCGCACATTTTCAGGCGTTAGAAACGCGTATTTTTTTTTATAAGGAAAATTGCCATAATTCATTTATATTGTAAACAAGTAGAATCGATTTCAGTTAAATGACGTATATTAGCCAATACAGAATAGGAGTATTTGCGCTACCTCAAAAAACGCATATGCTAGTAAACACAGAAAACACGTTGTTCTCGAACTCGATACTCAACGTAAAGACTTTACGAAACAAAATCGTAAAAATGTGCGCTTTTCTTGATTTTATTTTCGTAGAAATTTTACGCGTATTTTACCGTTTTTTCTAAAAATTTGTCTGTCTGGGTAGAACAACTAAATTGTTCTTTTCTTGTTCATTTTGATCGAACTTGGTGATGTAGAGAGAAATCAGCAAGATTTGCCATTATCAAACAATAAATTACAAATTCACAAAAGGATGCCAAATGTTTTATTCCAGATCAGATTTTTCCTCAAGAAATTTTTGTTGATTAAAATCAAAATCTTTCTCTTGTAGATTTTGAAAATGATCGAATCGTACGTTGATGTGAAAGGGATCAAGAAGGTGAAATAGTTGTTGGTTGAAATGAAAAGAGAGAAGAATCAAATCTGTTATGCTATCCCACAGTGGTATATCGTTTATTATCGAAGAACATCCTCAAGAATCTCAAAATAGGATTTTATTTGTGAATAGTTTTTTTTTCTAAAACCTTCTCGGAAATAAAACTGATAATCAATTGAGTTTATTTCAAAACTTAAAGTGTGCGGAAGATTCGATTATAGTATAGGTAAGTACGAACTACTGAATCGGAAGATTATAACATTAGAAACGTACCTTCCGACTCGGAAGTTCCGAGTAATTTACATTTACTGTTGTCATCACTATCGTAGACCATATATCAACTCGAAACTCATGTGTTCAATGTCATTTCGGCTTGTTTTTATTTATTCAACAAAACTGAAACCGATTAGAAGAAAACAAAAGAAGATGAACTGAAAATATTTTATTCACGATCTATATCAAATCTTTCGACTCGTGAATTCTTATAGTCAGCAACATAAAGATTTCCTTCCACGTCGAATGATAAACCATGAGAATCAGACAATTGATTTGATTTTTGTCTTTTTTCGTTTCCATCAACAACGATCTCACCTTCTGTACTTCCTTCACGCCAACGCATGATTCGATAATTGTGACTATCTGCAACATAGACGTGACCAAAATCATCGACAATTATGCCTTGAGGATGATTCAACTGGTTCAGATTCTTTCCCTGACCGTGTCCCCCGGCAACAACAATTCCTTCCTTTGCATCTTTTCTCCATTTCATTACACGATGGTTCTTCCAATCAGAGACATAAACCGATTGTTCGTCATCAACAGAAATAAAATGAGGTTCATTGAATTGAGTAAGATTATTTCCTTGACCATTTCCACCAGCCACTAATGTTCCTTCTTTTTCTTTCATTTCTCCAAATTTCCATTTCCTCACTTCATGTTTCTCCCAATCTGAAACGTACAGAAATCCGAAATTATCTTTCTTTAAACCATAGCACAGAATATTCTCAATGAGAATTTCTTGTTGATTTTCACTAAACCACTGAATCACTCGTCTTTTTCCTCGATCAGCAATGATCAGCGAATTGTTTTGTTCATTTATAATAACATCTGTTGGTTTATCCAATTGATCAGTTCCATTTCCACCTGCAATAATTTGTCCTTGACTTTCACCAAGTTTCCATTTCACTATTCGATTATTTCGGAAATCTGCTATAAAAAGGTTTTGATGTTTGTCAATAGAAATTCCAAGAGGCCTATAAAGTTGATTTAATTTGTTTCCATCTCCATTTCCTCCTGCTACGATTTGTGCATCTTGTTTCCATTTTTTCAATCTTATTCCTTTTCGAAAAAGAAAGAAAGAAGAATGAATGAGTGATGAAATTTTGAATTGAGTCTATACCAGCACCCGCATTCGTTTCAGCAGAAGATCTTTCACTTACTTTTTGAACACATTTGATTCTCGAGACGTTGTAATCGTGTTTGAAACGATTTCGAATTGTTCTTCAATCGATAGACTTCACACTGAGTCCAAAATATTAAAAGTAGAACAATAAGTAGAAATAAACATTTTTTAAACAATGTGCTTCTTTTCAATCTTGTAAACAAACTCTGTTGAGTCTTATAATCATTTCTATGCATCTGAGGATTGTTAATTGTCGTCTGATGATTATCTGGAAAATTTTGTAGATGAATGTAATCGGGATGAACACCTAATTTATCGTCTTCTTCTTCTTGGTCTGCAGTCAATGTTTGAAAAAGAGGTGGCATTATCAATGATAGACTTTGCATGGATTGGCTTAAATTATTTTCACGATTTTGTCTCAAATGATCTAAAACACCTCAACAAATCAGAAAATGTATGACACAAAAAATTCCATAACCTTTCAATAATTTCACGGCGTCGAAACAACGAATTTCGTCGAAAGTTTTGATTAGATAAGTAAAGTCTTGTTCATTAATTTTGTCTTGATCGAAAAGAGAATCCATTAGAGCAAGAGTTCCACCAAGTGTTGGATCATCCCGAATGCGTCGTGGAACATCATGACCGAGATAAAANCATAACCTTTCAATAATTTCACGGCGTCGAAACAACGAATTTCGTCGAAAGTTTTGATTAGATAAGTAAAGTCTTGTTCATTAATTTTGTCTTGATCGAAAAGAGAATCCATTAGAGCAAGAGTTCCACCAAGTGTTGGATCATCTCGAATGCGTCGTGGAACATCATGACCGAGATAAAAATGAAGGCGTTTTCGATCATCATTGGAAAGACGATCTTGCAAATTTAAAATAATCGAACGTAAACGAATATTATCCATCAAATGTGAATCCTCATGAGTTAAAACAGTTTTATCAAGTAAAGACTATTGAATGAAAGTAATATTTTTCGTTTCTCGTTAAAAAAAAACACCCATTTCCCATTAAAAGATGGGGAAAATGATTGTAAATGTGACATTGTATGATAAGAACAAATGATATTTCTTGGTCATGAATCATTCGATGTTTGTTCTTTTCTTTCAGAAGAGATAATGGGAAAAAATCCGACTTCCCACTCCTCTTCTTTTTTCCTTTTCTGCCTTCTTTAGTTTTCTCAATTTTCTTGTCTACATTATTACTTCGCATTTTTTATACACTTAGATTCGGTGATGTTTAAGTCTTTGCAAAAAGAAAAGGAAAAAATACTTCAAGAAGATATATTTCTTGAAAAAAAAAGAGAAAGTGGGGAGCCAGGAAAAGATCTTTTCCAAGGACGTCATTCACAAAAAATCTTTAATATTTATATAGAATTCAGAATATATATTGAAATTTCAAAATAGTGACAACTTCTCATGCAAGACAATTTTGTCGTCATGTGCTGTTTCAGTATCCGCTATCGTTTTAAGAAATATACTGAACAAAATATGAACATCAAAGAATTATTATGTATTCATTAAATCTATATGAATGTTAGCGAGTTCTCGCGCAAACTGTACGACGATGTTTCTCACAAATTTCTAGTGTTCTATTTTAATCGCAATTTGATAGAAACAGTTTAGATTTCACTCTTCGCCAGGACACTGATGTTACATCTCGGTATGAAAGTACATAGTTTAGGATGCTGAATACGTGAGCATACAGACGATAGATATAAAAAAAACAATTTGCTTCTAATGATGGGCGAATGCGATGACAATGTTTTTTACCTGAAAGAGAAGTGACGCGGAAGCGTCATTACACATAGAGTGACATCCAATTAACTAAGAAAATGTTTTACTTTGGTTTTAAATCTGTTTGGTTGTCTGTACAGAATATAAAAGATCGGATTCCGATCGCTGAATACATTCAGATCATCGACCGATGATAATCACCTAATCATTCACTTAGAAATGCATTAGTAAGTAGAAGTAAAATCAGATGTAGTTCAAAAATCGGTTATGACCAAACAATCTGTTTGATGGAACTGTAGAAGTCAAGTCGTCAGCCGAGTGAAAAAGAAAAATAGTGATGCGACACACTTTTAACTGCGTTTGGTCTCATTTTAGGTTGCTGTTTGATTCCATTTGATCTTTATTCATGCAAGATTATATGAGATCATTCAGGAACAGCTAATCGCTAAATCTATTTTACGTTATTTGTATAGGATACAGTTCATATCTGTCTGATTTACTCTAGTGTGCTTGGCAAAAAGAAATTCACTGTATGCAAATCACGCTCGTGATAGTATATTTGATTCGATTCTAGTTTCAAACTTCTAAGCCATCACAATGGCAGTATTTCAGCTTTCAACGTGCTCAAGCTCTTGATACCATGGTTTAAGATTCGAATTTCGAAATAGAGTAATTGAAACGTCTTTTCGGCTTCTATATATGTGTGTGCCACAATGTAAAAGGGAGAAAATAGACTAAGCTCTCCTAATTATCGAACTATCTAAGAAAAATTCCGTTATTATGTGTCCGCAAGATTTTTTTCATATCGCTGAGTTTCTGGAAGACTAATAACTATGATTAGGAAAACTATATAAAAGAAGTTATCCTTCTTCATTCACATCTAATCAAACGTATCGATCACATGTATGTCTTCTCACTATTCATTTTTCCTTCTACGTATACAGCGATCAGACGTACATACGAATAAAAAAAATCTCTTAGAAACAGTGCACAGTATGCAACACATCCATAGGAAATCAATCACATTTCAAAAATATGTGATTCGACAGGTATTCAAAATTAATTATTTTACAAATTTATTTATAATAAGCAATTTAAGAATAAATGAACATACAACCAGGCAAGTCGAGCAATCCGAATGAGAAACTAGTTAGCTTGGCTAATCTACAAAGAAACTACGAAAAATAGAATAATGTGAACATGAGAAAAGAGCACAAGGATCATTTGATGTGATCACTGCATCAAACAAAGACGACAAAATCGAAATCGTACATATACCTTAATCAGTCAAGCGATTGAAAACAAATAACGAAATAGAAACGAAGAATGGATATTACGAACGCAACAAACAAGTATCAACGAACTTTCAAATCATGAATAAGAATATAGAGAATGAAATGATGTGTGAAGTTGGAAATAATCTTCCAGTGATGAAAATCAATTGTAACCCAAATTTCGAAAACAAAGGCAAAGTAACGACTTTCATCATTAAATTTTTGAAACCATCGAATAAACGTTCAAAGCAAAAAACTCTAAAAATACTCACGCTGTAGGTTTCCACGACTGGTGGATTGATAATACCGGACAAGCATTGTCTGATGTTACAAACGATATTGATTTATTCATCTGTCGCTGCGATGAACGTAATTATCCGAATGAGATTGAAAGTAGAAAAAGTAAAGCCAAAACATCTCTCACCACAACAAATGGCAGTCATTAAATTTCTCTCGAATGGAACTAAGAAACTAAAAATTTAGATATCTTTGCATCAAATTATGCACGAAAATAAGAAGCGTCTATTTACAGTAATATAGAAAGAAAGAGAAAGACATCAGCGTTTAGTGGTCATTACGTTACCTTTGCTTTCAATATTTCAAAGAAAAACAATAAAAGCAGAAATAATGCAATTTTTTCGTTACACGACTTTTCTTATCTGACGCTGTGGCTATTAGATANCATAACCTTTCAATAATTTCACGGCGTCGAAACAACGAATTTCGTCGAAAGTTTTGATTAGATAAGTAAAGTCTTGTTCATTAATTTTGTCTTGATCGAAAAGAGAATCCATTAGAGCAAGAGTTCCACCAAGTGTTGGATCATCCCGAATGCGTCGTGGAACATCATGACCGAGATAAAAATGAAGGCGTTTTCGATCATCATTTGAAAGACGATCTTGTAAATTTAAAATGATCGAACGTAAACGACTATTATCCATCAAATGTGAATCCTCATGAGTTAATTCGCGTTAAAAAAAACACGCATTTCCCATTAAAAGATGGGGAAAATGATTGTAAATGTGACATTAGATGATAAGAACGAATGATATTTCATGGTCATGAATCATTCGATGTTTGTTCTTTTTTTACAAGGGATAATGGGAAAAAATCCGACTTCCCACTCCTCTTCTTTTTTCCTTTTCTCTCTTCTTTAGGCTTCTCAATTTTCTTGTCTACATTATTACTTCGCATTTTTTATAAACTTAGATTCGGTGATGTTTAAGCTTTTGCAAAAAGAAAAGGAAAAAATACTCTAAGAAGATATATTTCTTGAAAAAAAAGAGGAAGTGGGGACCGAGGAAAAGATCTTTTCAAAGAACGTCATTCACAAAAAATCTTTATTATTCATGTAGAATTCAGAATATATATTGAAATTTCAAAATAGTGACAACTTCTCATGCAAGACAATTTTGTCGTCATGTGCTATTTTAGCATCCGCTATCGTTTTAAGAAATATAATGAACAAAATATGAACATCAAAGAATTATGTATTCATTAAATCTATATGAATGTTAGCGAGTTCTCGCGCAAACTGTATGACGATGTTTCTCACAAATTTCTAGTGTTCTATTCTAATCGCAATTTGATAGAAACAGTTTAGATTTCATTCTTCACTAGGACACTGATGTTACATCTCGATATGAAAGCACATACATAGTTTAGGATGCTGAATACGTGACCATACAGACGATAAATATTTAAAAAAACCAATTTGCTTTTAATGATGGGCGAATGTGATGAAAACGTTTTTTATCTTGAAGAGAAGTGACGTCGAAGCGTCGTTACACAAAGAGTGGTATCCAGTTAACTAAGAAAATGTTTTACTTTGGTTTTAAATCTGCTTGGTTGTCTGTACAGAATATAAAAGATCGGATCTCGATCGCTGAATACATTCAGATTATCGACCGATTATAATCACCTATCATTCACTTAGAAATGCATTAGGAAGTAGAAGTAAAATCGTTACCCGAGTGAAAAAGAAAAATGACGGTGCGACACTCTTTTATTGTAAACTTTTAGCTGCGTCTGGTCTCATTTTAGGTTGTTGTTTGATTCTATTTTATCTTGATTCATGCAAGATTATATGAGATCATTCAGGAACAGCTAATCGCTAAATCTATTTTACGTTATTTGTATAGGATACAGTTCATATCTGTCTGATTTACTCTAGTGTGCTTGGCAAAAAGAAATTCACTGTATGCAAATCACGCTCGTGATAGTATATTTGATTCGATTCTAGTTTCAAACTTCTGAGCCATCACAATGGCAGTATTTCAGCTTTCAACGTGCTCAAGCTCTTGACACCATGGTTTAAGATTCGAATTTCGAAATAGAGTAATTAAAACGTCTTTTCGACTTGTATATATGTGTGCCACAATGTGAAAGGGAGAAAACAGACTATAAGCTTTCCTACTTATCGAACTGTCTAAGAAAAATTCCGTTATTATGTGTCCGCAAGATTTTTTCATATCATTGAGTTTCTGGAAGACTAATAACTATGATTGGGAAAACTATATAAAAGTAGTTATTCTTCTTCATTCACGTCTAACCAAACGTATCGATCACATGTATATCTTCTCATTATTCATTTTTCCTTCTACGTATACAGCGATCAGACGTACATACAAATTTTTAAAAAAATCTCTTCGAAATAGTGTACAGTATGCAACATTTCAAAAATATGTGTTTCGACAGGTATTCAAAATTGATTATCTTACAAATTTATTTATCACAAACAATTAAACAATAAAGACATAAGAATAAATGAGCATACATTAACCAGGCGAGTCGAGTAATCTGAAGGAGAAACTAATTAGCTTGGCTAATCTAGAAAGAAACAACGAAGAACTACGAAAAATAGAATAAGGTGAACATGAGAAAAGAGCACAACCATCATCTGATGTGATCACTGCGCAAAACAAAGACGGCAAAATCGAAATCGGACATACACCTTAATCAATCAAACGATCGAAAACAAATAACGAAATAGAAACGAAGAATGGATATTACATACGCAACAAACAAGTTTCAACGAACTTTCAAATCATGAATAAGAACATAGAGAATGAAATGATGTATGAAGTTGGAAATAATCTTCCAGTGATCAAAATCAATTGCAATGCAAATTTCGAAAACAAAGGCAAAGTAACGACTTTCATCATTCGATTTTTTAAACCATCGGATAAACGTTCAAAGCAAAAAACTCTAAAAATACTCACGCTGTAGGTTTCCACGACTGGTAGATTGATAATATCGGACAAGCATTGTCTGATGTTACAAACGATATTGATTTATTCATCTGTCTCTGCGATGAAGGTAGTTATCCGAATGAGATCGAAAATAGAAAAAGTAAAGTCAAAACGTCTCTCATCACAACCAATGGCAGTCATTAAATTTCCCTCAAATAAACCAAAGAAACTAAAAATTTATATATCTTTGCATCAAATTATGCACGAAAAAAAGAAGCGTCTGTAACACACTACGAAATCTGTACGGAAAAATACCAATTGAGAAAGTGAATATTAGAAAGAAAATGTTCAATGTGTCTGCTCTACCGCACTTTATATGACTGAACTGGTGTATAATCAGTGGGGATGGAATGAAACACTTTTCAATTATGTGTATGACTATTGGTTGACATTCATAAAACCTTAGATATTTCTCTTGAAGTTCACGACTTACGGGGGACTTAGGAAAGTGTATCTAATAGCCACAGCGTCAGATAAGAAAAGTCGTGTAACGAAAAAATTGCATTATTTCTGCTTTTATTGTTTTTCTTTGAAATATTGAAAGCAAAGGTAACGTAATGACCACTAAACGCTGATGTCTTTCTCTTCCTATAACGTTTTTTCCTCTTTTCTTTCTATATTACTTTAAATAGACGAATGAGTCGGTAATCGTACTGCTTGAATCTCTATGTGAAATGTAATAAAATTATAATTCTAAGGGGTCGATAAGACAAATAGAAGTGATCAAATCAGTCTAAAGTACAGACATGACATAAAAAGACATTAGTAACATTATTATTGAGTAATATTTGGAAAGAATCTGAAATAAATATACGCAGAAAAGGCAGCTGGTGTATGCATCAAACGTGGTTTGTACACAAGGTTAGAATTTGGAAATTTCCCTTTTCTCCATTTCGAGCTCGGAGAAGGTATATATGTATAAAATGTGATCGGTATTCGCAGTAGAATATCATATTTTCTTCGTCGAAAGGGTGACGGTACCTATTCATTCACGATAAAGAAATTGTACTATTTTCGTCGAGCGTGGATTGTAGCCAGATTGATGAGACTCCTGTCAAGATCTCAATGGTTATGTTTTTACTTTCTCCTTCTCCGACAAAATGTGCGCGGACTTTGGCCTCCGTCAAACTCTTCGGCAGTTCAGCTGTTAGGTATTGCACAAAGAAAGCTCAATATAACACATACTAGTTCTTCGTCGTTTGATCAAGCTCGTGCATTGTTTTACTCAGCGATGTTGCTCGCTCAACAATACAGTATCACTGTTGGAGGAGAATATCTCGGTTGGAACGTAGTAGAAACAACTGGTGATCCCATCATTGCTCTTCGGGCTACATGTGAAACAATATCAACTTCCAACATTGTTGGCATTGTTGGGCCAGCTGCTTCAAGAGAAGCTCATGTCATTGCACCTTTCGGTGAGAGTATTAAGATTCCAACAATATCATATAGTGCAACTGATCCTGAACTATCCGACCGAACAGCTAATCCAACTTTTTATCGCACAGTTCCATCAGACAATGATGCAGCGGCAACTATAGCTAATCTTTTCCTGGAATTTAATTGGACAATGTGTATCATTATTTATCAAAATGATGCATTTGGAACTGGAGGTGCTAAAGCAATTTCCGACGTACTTGTCGATAGTAACGTAACCGTCACTGAAACGATGATCTTTGATTTAAATACATTGTCTATTCGTGGCGATTTAAAAAGTACATTAACCAGTAGTTTAACCAGGATTGTAATTGTATGGGCTGATACAAGTTTTGCAACACTAATCCTACAAAGTGCGCTCAAAGCAGATGTAGTGGGTCCACTTTTTACATGGATATTAGCTTCTGATGTTCAACTGTCAGAATTTAACGGAATCTGGTACGATCGTTTGATCGGAGTGCTTACAATTGGTCCCGTCGTCGGAAATTTAGCTAATGCACCAATGAATCAAACATTGTTGAATGATGCATATAGCATTTGGCAGAAGTATGAACCTGAATCATTTCCCGGCGCAGCGAATGTTGATTATTATGCATTATTTGCATTCGATGCAACATGGACGTTGATTCAATCATTTGCGCAATTGTGTTCCAATAGCAGTGTATCGTCATGCATTAAATTTACAAACACGTCGTTTTGTTTCGATCGACGCGTTTCAAATATCCACTCGATATTTGATATCATCAACACAAATACTTTTCTGGGTGTCACAGGTCCCGTTCAATTTTCGGCAAACACAACAGATCGAGTTAATGGCACCTATTATATCGTGAAAAATGTACAACGTGTTTCAAATACTCTAAAGTATGTTCCAGTTCTAATATCAACAAGTTCAGCTGCATGGACACCGCAAGCACAAACGAATGTAATCATTTGGCCTGGTCACTCACTAGCTGTACCGACAGGTTACGCATCACTTCAAGGTGTCACGTTACATATTGCTGTTATAATCACAGCACCATTCGCTATGATGAGAGAATATATAGGCCAACATGGATCAATACAGACGAAAATCATCGGATATATTCCCGATTTGATTGAACACTTGCAACAGCAGATGGGATTCATTCCGAATATTACCATGCTGCCAGAAAACATCACGTACAATAGTTTACCTGATCAAGTAGCAAATAATGTTTATGATCTAGTGATGGGCGATGTTACAATTCTATCGTCGCGAAGAACAAAAGCGGCATTTTCCGATTCAATCTTCGATAATTCATTACGTGTTCTCGCTCGACGAAAAACCGAAACAGACGTTCATCGATTTGGTTTTCTCCGTACATTCGAATTGAGCTTATGGATGGTTATCTTCGCTTGTCTTATATGGTCTGCTTGTCTGTTTTTCTTGTACGAAGGCAATGCGAACCCAGATTTAAGGGAAAAATCGTTGCTCTCTCGTATAGGAATGAGTATTTGGTATGGTTTTGGAACACTTATTGGATATGGCGTCGATTTCCGTACGAGTTCAGCTGCTGGACGAGTTTTAACTATTGGAATATACATGACAAGTCTGGTTCTAATCAGTGCATATCAAGCATACTTCACTGCAAGTGTAACTATCTCCATAGCACAAAGCTCTTTCTCTGGAATTGATGATATTAAAAATGGGAAAGTTCCGTATAACCGAATCGGTATCATCAGTGGTTCATCTCTTGAAGATTATTTCCTTCGAGAAATATCTGATGGCAGTCGTACTTACTACGTACTAAAAGACAAACAAGACATGTTTGATAAATTGTTAAGTGGAATAATCGATGTTTCAATCATGGATACGGGCTACGCTGAATTTGCTACAGGTTCTATCTATTGTAATTTGACCATTGTTGGTTCAGGCTTTGATCAAAGTCAATTTGGGATAATTTATCCTATGAAATGGCCGTATGAACAAGCTTTAGATGTGTCAATATTATCATTGCGTGAAAAAGGAGTATTCAACGATCTGAAAAGTAAATGGTTTCAAATAAATAATTGTACAAGTTCGTCAACGGATATATCTTTGAAGTTACCACTTGAAGCGCTAACTGGCTTATTCATTGCCTTTGCAATATTTAGCGCACTTTCAATG